AATGGAACAATTGTTGCCACCACTGGTTGGATGGGACAATGGAACAATTGTTGCCACCACTGGTTGGATGGGACAATGGAACAATTGTTGCCACCACTGGTTGGATGGGACAATGGAACAATTGTTGCCACCACTGGTTGGATGGGACAATGGAACAATTGTTGCCACCACTGGTTGGATGGGACAATGGAACAATTGTTGCCACCACTGGTTGGATGGGACAATGGAACAATTGTTGCCACCACTGGTTGGATGGGACAATGGAACAATTGTTGCCACCACTGGTTGGATGGGACAATGGAACAATTGTTGCCACCACTGGTTGGATGGGACAATGGAACAATTGTTGCCACCACTGGTTGGATGGGACAATGGAACAATTGTTGCCACCACTGGTTGGATGGGACAATGGAACAATTGTTGCCACCACTGGTTGGATGGGACAATGGAACAATTGTTGCCACCACTGGTTGGATGGGACAATGGAACAATTGTTGCCACCACTGGTTGGATGGGACAATGGAACAATTGTTGCCACCACTGGTTGGATGGGACAATGGAACAATTGTTGCCACCACTGGTTGGATGGGACAATGGAACAATTGTTGCCACCACTGGTTGGATGGGACAATGGAACAATTGTTGCCACCACTGGTTGGATGGGACAATGGAACAATTGTTGCCACCACTGGTTGGATGTTGGAATGGAACAGTTGTTGCCACCACTGGTTGGATGTTGGAATGGAACAATGGCACTGCTATTTTAAGTTGATGATTTTTAAAGCACTGAATGAGTATTCGAGGTTTTTTCTTTTTAAAATATGAAAGTAAAGAAACGATGCTATCTGTGGTCATATGATGCATATCTTTGACCACAGTACCAGATAGAGACTGAGTATTGTAAGAAAGTAGACCACGAGAACAGAAGGTTCCAGAACGTGATGGCACAGCAAAAAAATCAGCACCTGTTTTCACTGAGACAGTGGAGGGTGACCAAGAGATTCTTCAATGGCGAAGGAGGGGCTTGGAAGGACAAGTAAGTCACTTAGTCTGGTCTAGTGACTCACATTGTTTGAATGGTCTCGGCCAGGGGTCTGCAACCTTTTTTGATTGAGGAGCCACTTTTATAAAGTATATCTACTGAGCCAATATTTTGGGACTGCTGGTCTTGGTTGAATATTTAAATGTTAAGTTGCCCTTGATATAGATTTTTTTCTTAGTGAGGTAACTTTATATTCTAACTCTAGCTTATAAAAAATGTGTTATGTGCTCCTGTTATCTCCAGACATCAACAAGTGGTCCACTGGAAACTGTCTAACCAAGAAAACTTTCAGCGCATGAAAGTAAAACTGACTCAGAACTACAATTTTGATAGTCACATCAATGCCAGCCACCTCAGGGACAATGTGGGTATGTAATGCACAGGGGACCCCAGCAATCTCAGGTACAATGTGGGTATGTATAGCACAGGGAACCCCAGCCAACTCAGGGACAATGTGAGTATGTTTAACTCAGGGGCCCCCAGCCAACTCAGGGACAATGTGAGTATGTTTAACTCAGGGGCCCCCAGCCAACTCAGGGACAATGTGAGTGTGTACAACACATGAACCCCAGCCAACTCAGGGACATTGTGGGTATGTTTAATACAGGGGCCCCCAACCAACTCAGGGACAATGTATGTATAACACAGGGGCCCCCAGCCAACTCAGGGACAATTTATGTATAACACAGGGGACCCCAGCCAACTCAGGGACAATGTGTGTATAACACAGGGTTCCCAAAATCTCCAGGGACAATGTATGTATAACACAGGGTTCCCATACTTCAGGGACAATGTATGTATAATACAGGGTTCCCATACTTCAGGGACAATGTATGTACAACATAGGGTTCCTATACTTCAGGGACAATGTATGTATAACACAGGGTTCCCATACTTCAGGGTCAATGTGGGTATTCACTTTGTGATAGGGATACCCGGTCACTTCATGGACAATGTGGGTATGCACTCTAACACAAGGGTCCCCGGTTATTTTGGGGATAATGTGGGTTTTTAATATTGGGATTCCCAGTCATCTCAGGGAAAATTTTGATATTTTTAGGATCAATTGATTCTGGGACATCACTCTGCTTAGAAGAACTCAAGGGAGTTAAAGAAGCTTTGGTATCAAAAGAAAACATTGCAGACGACACACTTGGAGATGAAGAGTGGAGCGCCATCTCAGCCTCAAGGTAAGACCTTGACCCTAGTATCAACAGTTTCTATTGTTCCTCCCCCCCACCCTAAAAAAACCCACTCAGCACTTTATTGTTAAGACTATATTGTATGTAGCTTTAACTTACATGTAGTCAAACAATGGTGTAAACTAGAAGTACTCAGCCATCACGTCAACCTGTAAGGTTTGCTGTACATTGTACAAGTGTTAATTGTGTTTAGAGTTGTACAGCCGTACATGATTCTTACAGTTTTTCAATGGATTTGGACAAATAAAATTTTGCACACAACAGTGAAGATGCAGGATTAAAATCTTAACAGGCAGTGCAATAAATTGGTCAACAGAAAGGTGAAATCCTATTGGTCTGTTCAAAATGACCTCTGAAAATGTCACTTTTTAAAAAATCTATTTTGTTTATTACGGTTTTTTGTGGTGTTCTCAAATTTGTGGATGACTTTTTATACAGTTTTATGGGGATTTTTGTACAATAGTTGTGATACTTTTGTAAAGTTTTTTTTTTTTTAAAAATCCCAACAAGTTGGCATGTATGGCTCATGCCGATGTCTCGTTTTCATTTTAGTTGATACTTGTATTGGCCTTTTAATGTGCCATGAATTAGTGTTCTAATATCACATCGTAATTTGGAAATATTTCAAGAAATTCATCACAATAAATTTAAAGCCTAGAAGCTAAAGAAGATGTCTAGAACTTGTATTTGTTAAATCTGTATGTTTAAGACTCCACCAGCGCAGCACATTGGCCTCTACCTTGTTGTCCTCCTTGTATTTCCAGTGCCAACATTGAAGAATACACAGGGCGAGAAAAGCTGGTCATCTCTGCTGACTGTGAACTTATCAGGAAGGCTTGAGGTCACCACGACCCATGTATATTTCTTCGACTGCAGCCCCCACAAGGAAGAGGGTGAGAATAACGATCTCATCATCTGGATGTCGCATATATGCAGGTCTGCCTGTTCAATTTCCCGTTGACAGGCTCATGCCTCTCTTTTCTTGCCTTTTTTGCAAAGTATCTTTTTAAGGTGCTGGGTGGCCGAATGGTCTAAACTGAGCAAATCTCAAGTTGGTGGTCTAGAGTTCAATTCCAGCTAGAGCCCAGTCAAGCAATAACACCACCAGCACCCCGGGTAGATGAGACCCGTTAACCTTGGATGGCAACTCATCTAAGAGAAGGAAACTCTGAAATCATACCCGGAGATGGAGTCCCGAAAGGCGGATAACATTGATACAATGAAACATTTCGGCAACTCCTGCGACGTCACTGGTACCAAGCTGTATCATCCATTGATGTTCCCTTGGGTTACCCAGCGGCGTGGAGAGAGGCGATTTGCTGTTGGGAACCAGCTTATAATCCTTGAAGTATAATCCCAGGCTATGTGGATTTCGTCCTCCGAAGCCCACTCCATCTTCACATTGTGACGGACGGATGCCAGCAGCAATCTTTTTAAGGTCATTTTTTTAAAAACAAAATTTGACCATTGGTTCAATCTGTTTGGATGGACAACTTTGATGCCTGTTAAATCACCTTTCATACATCCTAGTGAGCTGTCCTAAAGCACATAATATCTAACAGCTTGGAATCTTGCAGGCTCTGTTAAATCCAGGATATATGTATTTTATACACACTGTCCTGATAAAAATGGAACCCTTTTTAAAATGGTGGAAACTAATGGTAAATATCTATCAATTTTTAAATTCCGAAAACTCATTTTAATTCTAAAGTAATGTTATATCTTATTAAGGACCATTTT